AATGTGATGGTTTTGTGAATGAGTATGCAGATCTTATCATTACACTTTTGGTGCAAGAACTTGACCCAAACACAGTCTGTGAAGCTTTGAAACTCTGTCCTGGTACTTAATTTGTGTTTAAATAAAACTAGTTAAGTTTTAAATTCTATTAAAATGATCATTTAAGAATTTGGTTAGATCCTAAAACACACCTTTTGTATTTTTTTAAATGGTGGCTAATAATTTTAGAACAATTTCATGAAATAGTCGCATTGTTGTGTTTAATTTAAAAAATGAAAAAAAGAATGGAAAATCTAGTTTTACTTTAATTGTTGAACTGCTACAATTCAACAAGTAATACATATTGTAGTGTCATGATTGGTGTTTTATTAATTTTAGAAACAGGATAGCTTGCATTAGTGGAAGTTGATTGATCTAATTGTGTAGTTCTTCTTAATGAAGTGATCAGGCACTACATAATTTTGTTTATAGGTAAAACTTAATCACATTTGGTAGTTTTTATGGTATCAGTGGTAATGTGTATTTGAATGAACCAATACAGTATTAAAGAGAAAAATGAGGTTTGACTTGCTTTTGATAAGATGGTCAAATCTTTTCTGCATAGGCCGACAAAGAAATGATGTCCAAATCTCGACAGCTTCTGACAGCCTTCAGTGTACATTGTGTAAGAAAGTAATGGCATACCTTGATAAAGAACTTGGAGACAAACCAACAGAGGTATTTATGTAACAACATCAATTTTTTATTTCTTTTCTCATACTTTTAGAAAATATTTATAAAGAAACTAACCAGAAAAAAAATATGGTTAGTAGGCTTGTTTGGGCCACTCATTCCCAGCATTTAAGGGTACACATCCTTATTCCACAGTTTTAGAAACTACTCCATATGTAGAAAGATAATTATTTTCTACCCTTATATATCTCAGGACATGGACTTTATATATCCCCTATATCAGGATTTGGACTTTATATATCCCCTATATCAGGACATGGACTTTATATATCCCTATATCAGAACTTGTAGGGTTTTATATACCTACACATGGAGAAAGTTAAGTATTTTAAATTTGCATATATACACATTTATACTTTTGTGAATATCAGTTCATGTATTTATGGCAAAACCTAATTTTTATAGCATTTGATCTTTGTTTACGGAAACATAAACTGGAAAGTCAGGCCCATCTGTCACATCCTCTTTTTTCTTCAATTGCCAATAATTTTCTCTGATGTTTTCTATTGTATCATTTATAATCACTAGAAAGACAGTTTTAATATATTAAATGATGTATATTTTTACATCTAAGGGAATTATTTTAAGGCTCTTGTGCTTTAGTTAGAAAGACAGTTAACTTATAATACTTATATGACATTGTTTGCTCTGTGTGAACTATTACTGAGTTCTCAGGGGTATTCTTTAAATAAATAAAATGATTTAATTTACTAGTACCATCATTACACAAAAGTAGGCTTAAATTTCATTGGCAACTGACAGCAAAAAATTAGAGGTGAGAGATAAGTGCTTTATTTCTTGTTATTCATGTATATTCTTTATCTGTTATTATAAAAGTAACTAAATTGTAAGAATTAGAAACCTATTAAATTAGGTAAGATAATGAAAAAATAATTTTCTATGAGTTATGCTCATTTGTAGTTTGTGCATTACATCATTCAATACTTGAGCTATGCATTTGCTGAATGATTTAAAACTTGTGTGGCAGGATTTAGTTAGATGCAGCTGAAAGGGCAATAAAACAATAACATTAAGTAGAAACATGTAAACTGTTACTACAAGCTTTAAGCTATTGAGGGTAAACAATTGTAGTTTCATGTTACAATTTCCAGTCATTCTCGAAAAAAAAAAGGGCGTAACTTAGATTCAGTTCGTATTTTTTATGGTGGTTACAGGTCAGTCAAATTGACAGTCCATATTGAATTAATGTAAGGAAAATAACAGATAAAATATAAAATCTAACTGAAAAAGAAATTCATTTAGAAGGGTTTGGAGGTTACACAAATGAAATTTGAAAATGTTCAGATGAAGAAAAGTATCTTTAATCTTAACAAGAAAATTACTTTCTCCTCAGAGCAATCAACACTCTGACTACATATATTGATGGATAAATCTTTAGAAAAGAACTTAATTGAAAAGAACAACCTAATTTTTTGTGTACATCGTATTAAAAGTTATAGTATGGATATTCTCATGATTACTTGGTAGTTACTAAGTTGGTGTAATCCACTGACTTGATAATGAAAGAGTTCAAAATATCTATATTATAATGAGTTATTTACATTAAATTCTATGCTTCAGAGAATGGTGTTAAATAAATTAGAGATGGGGAAAGACCTAGAGAACATCATGATTCTCAGACAGGAGGAGATTGTGGATTTATTTAAAAATTTCCTTATAAAACTAAAATATTAAAACATATATTAAAATTTGATTTACTAACTACATTTTGATGCCAAGTTTATTTGTATGCATTGATTATAAGATAGCTTAATTAAATTTTGAATGTAACTCTGTAAAAGGTCATGACGTGTGCACTTTGACCTACCTGTAGTGAGAGAATTAAAGATTAATTACAATGGTTTAAGCATGTTTTATTTATTGACATTTATGAACTGTATTCCTAAAATTGCAAATGTACATTGAAATAATAACAAGAATACTGTTAATTTCATTTATTTAATACTTGTGTTTTTACAATAACTGCACTTCAATGAATGTGTTAACTTATTTTGGAACATTTGTTAGTTTTAAATAATATTATGTATGTATTTGTCAGTTGTGTTTAGAGTTACTCCTGTTTTCATGCAGTGGTGAAACTTTCTAAATTAAGAGCGATTATTCACAATCCCATTTTTTTAGGTATATATACTGAACCGCAAAAGAAACGTCGCAGTAATTAGAGGAAAAAATGATACAAGAATGAATGTCATATTTTTATTGAATGAACGTATACAAACCAAAGTTATTGCACAAATTTG